TAACTGTATTATTTGTGTTAGCACGTGTACATTAATATTTTGTAAAAGAAAATGTTGGCTATCGCTTACAGCGGTCATGATACTATAAGCTCGTTTTGCGTAAATCGGACCAAAAATTAATATTCAAAAACTGAAGGTAGCCGGACTAACTATGACATTGGGACGTCAAACATCTCAGTCCCCCACCCCCGTGACCATGGGTGCTGTAAAGCACCCGAAACGTCGGGATAATAAAAATAAGTTAAAGTAAAAATTAAACGGGATAAAATCCGTAAATAATAGTTTTATTCAATGTGTGGTGTTCGCTTAAATTTAAGAAATCATTATGTTAAGATTATAATTAACAATGCTAGTAATCTAATTTTTTATTACTAAAGACTATATATTTTATATCTCTTTACTGCCAGTACACACTAAGGAGAACTTGCCAGTTGACATTAAGTCTTTTGTAGTTTGGAAAGGCAAAGAAAACATGTATAAGAGGCACTAAGTCTGTTAATCCAAAACACAGAAATTTTTAATTAAAGGCTTCGACGTGGTAGAGCCATGCTGGAGCTATATTAGTAGTATTATTGTATCACGAATATGTCGGCATAACCTGGGAAGGTCCACGCTCTCACAGAATACCAGCGTAAAATAGCAGCTCAACGCTGCTGTGTTTCGTATGGTGAGTGTAGAGAACCGAAGACCCATTTTGCTGGAAACGAGGCATTCCATCTTAGTCCTCATGGTTTACAACGCATCTACGTTTTGATTCGTAATCGAGGATAGATGTAGATGTCTATGGGTCACAGCAACCACTTACCATCAAGTGGACTGTGTGCTCGTTTGTCACCACCTATATAAAATTTGTCTCAATTATAAATACAATATTGATTCAGTTATAAACGTTCGTGTTCGGTTTACCCGTTTTTGAATTAGAACAATTAATTAAATGTTCGTTACCAGATAAAGCCCATTAATTTATGTCTGTGCGACACACCCGTCCCATTTAACTCACAGTCACATAAATCACTCGATGGCATCTTCGACTCGCGAGCTTTTACTGTATCAAATCAATTTCAGATTTAACATGCATTGTGCTAGAGCTATTTGGTATCGTTCGATGTATGGTGTGGTTATGAAGTTTTTCTGATCATACGTGATAGATCCATGCTGTAGCTAATTATGGTTGTAGCACGAATGGGTTTACTCGACCGGGTAACGACCACGCTCTCACAGAACACCAGCGTAATATAGCAGCTTAATGCTGCTGTATTCCGTATGATGAGTGCAGAAAACCGGAAATCCTTTTTACTGGAATAGAGGCATTCCATTTTAGTCCATGGGTGTAACAACACATCTGTATTTTGATTACACGGGACCACAGAATCTACTTACCGTCAGATGGACTGTTGTTACCTTTATCATATTATAGAAAAAAAAAACGTTCAATAATTTCTTCCATAGTTACTGGTTATAGTTTTAGCGAGCGTTTTGTATCAGTTAAGGTTTTTCGACCTAACCTAAGTCTCACATCATACTATCGTATCGTTTTGTCAGGAGAATCAGAAACGAGGCATCATATGAAGTACCTAACCTATCGAAATGCGGGGCCTTATATTCCCTTATATAAGTATATTAATTGATTACTCTTTCTAGTAATTCAAGTTACTTGAATATACGTCCAATATAAATTGAATAAACTAAATAAGAAAAAATCAAAACACAAACAGAGCCAATATTTTTTTTACAAAATATTAATGTACACGTGCTAACATAAATAATACAGTTACCATTTCAGTCCATGTACAATGCTGAAGATAGGCCTCCGATATAGATTAATCCCTTAAATTCGGTTCTCTACACTCACCATACGAAACACAGCAGCATTAAGCTGCTATTTTAAGCTGGTATTCTGTGAGAGCGTGGTCCTTCCCTGGTCGAGCCGATGCATTCGTGCTACAACTATAATACTAACATAAATGCAGCATGGCTCTACCACGTATAAAAGTGCAATGCGGATAACAATTATTTGACGCGACTATCTCTCTCACCCTCAACGTAACGTAACGTACGTAAAATACATTATTATTTTACGTTTTATAGATATATACAAAAATTCGTAAATTCTCACTATATTACGGACTATTTGACTTCTTACACATAAACCAAATTTGTCAAAATTTCCATCTAAGGTAGATGTACCATGGAAGGCCACTCTAACAAATAAACAGTTATTATTCGTTTATTTACTGGATAAATTAAACTAACAAATATTTAAGTAATACTTTGTTTTATTACATAATATATAAACCAATTTTTAAATTGCAGATTTAATCAATATTGATTGAATTTAAGTTTCATTGAACTCTTCCAAATCGCCTTGCTCTAATTCATTTAACACTAAAGTTTAATAAATATCGATTAAATCTACAATAAAAAGAAGTGGTTTATATGTTGCATAATAAAATAAAGTATTACTTAAATATTCGTTAGTTTCATTTGTCCAGTAAATAAACGAATAATAACTGTTTATTTGTTATAGGGGCCTTCCATGGTACACCCACCTTATTTTAATGTCGTCGATTCCCGAAATCAATGAAGCGAGAGGCCGTACTGTCAAAATAGTAGCGCGAGCGATTCGCCGCCGCGTCTGTGATTTTCAGTTCGATGCGTGTTTGCGTAAGTAGAAGGAATTTGTCATCACATGGCAACAATTACGACATTTTAATAATTGGCTTTCGAAGGAGTATGGCCTTCCATGGTCAACCCACCTTACATAGATTGTTTCTTGACAACACTGCCACTCACTTCCGCGGCGTAATTTTTCATCGTCGCTCGTTTTGGTTTATTATTTACTAGCTGTTCCCCGCGACTTCATCCGCGTCAAAATTATTACGATTGAATTTCATGGGTTTTAATATTTTTTTGCACGGAACCCCCTAGTGCTTTTTCTAAAATAAAAGTAGCCTTAGTTACTCCTTATAACATTAGTTATCTGCCAGTGAAAGTCCTTTCAAAATCTGTCCAGCCATTTTGGAGATTAGCAGGAACAAACAGGAAGACATGCCGTCAAAAAGACAGACAGTTTTTTTTAAATAAGCATAAAAACTCTCATATGCATTTAGTAAAAACCTATTATTTTAACATTGCAAACAGACTCTTCTATTTTATTTGTTTGTATAGATAAATGTGTATAAATAAAAAAATGCCTATATTTAATCGCTTGAAATTAAAAGCACAAATGTACGTGCTAGATACAAGTACTGAAAGCAATAACTTAGAGCTTGAATTCGCTATATTGGTGGCCAACAGCGTGTTCCTGCTCAACCTTAACCACCCACCGTAATTAGAACTGTTGCACTGACCCGCAGTCTTTGTGACGCCTCTATTTGTTCAGGCGAGCTGGAAAGCGGGAGGGTCATTGAAAATTTGCGGTTCGAAAGCTCGGCTCGTAAATATTCGCTGGCCATTGCGGGGATAGTTGCCGAGTGCGGTTGTTTAACTAAAGCGCTATTAATCTGCCGGTGCAAGTGAAATTTATTGATTTAACTTGTTTATTAATTTTTCATATATGTATGCGGGTAAAGGTCGGGAAAAAATTTCTTCGTATTTTATATACAATTTCATGATATTTTTTTTTTAAATTTCATCATCATCACCATTACAGCCCTTCACAAGTCCACTGCTGAACATAGGCCTCCCCCAAGGAATGCCACGAAGCACAGTTCTGAGCCACCTGCATCCATCGACTGCATATATCGACTCTTGGATCTACAAATCACCGTTGGATCCAACGATGATGTGTACAGCTGCCCATAGAACCTTTCAATCTCACTTAAAATCTCAGTTGTCCCGGAAACGACGCCGCCACAGTCAGTTTTCAGCTTTGACAGTTGGCTCCTAATGGCAGACAGATCTCTGGAAAAGACTTTGGAGCCCTGGTTCCGCTCTATCGCTTCTTCAATACGGGTTGTATTGAAGTTGCGTAAGTCCCGCCGCATACATTTAGAGATCTATTTGTTCAGTTGCCTGTATGCTGTCAAATCTGCTGACGACTGCAGCTTCATGTTCCGTCTAACAGCCATGAGATAAAGAGTGTGGTGTTTTCAAAGTTGTGTGGAGTTTTCAATGTTTAATTACATTTAATTATAACACGTATGTGCCATTTTATTCAATAAATTTTTGCCATCTTGTAGGTAGCGATATAATCGCGTTGCTGTGGAAATGGTCCCACCATACAGTTTTGATCAAAAAGATGTTAACCTAACACCACCCAAATAATTTTGAAGAGACTGGAACAGGTGAAGGTCTGAGGGTGATCAATTTTCGCTGGTTTTTCTCAATTTCTTGCTTGAGTCTTATTATTTATTGGTAGTAGAGATCCGAATCGATGGTTTTACATGGCGATAAAAGTGCATAATAAATAATACGCATCCAATCCCACCATACCAACAGCATCACCCTATTGCGTGTTAATCTGGGTTTCGCTACACACTGTGAAGCTTGATTACCCTTTGACCATGATCTTTTGCGTGCGTTCTTGCCGTAGGTGATTCACTTTTCATCACCAGTGACCAATCTTTTAAAAATGGTTCGTATTCATTACGTTTCAGTAGAGAATCGCAAATGAGTACAAGATTAATTAGGTTTCTTTCAGTGAGCTCGTGTGGTATTCAAATATCGACCTTATTTGTATAGACAGACTTTTTCAAATGGGTCAAAACTGTTTTGTGGTCTATTCTCAATTCCTCGGGTATGTCGTAACTACTAATATGCCAATTTTGCTCCAGTTTTTCAAAAATGGCATCGATTTTATCACAGCAAAACTATATTAAATATATTATGTGGGTGTGCACGCATCCGAGAGCGTGAGTGGTTCCTTTTTTGTTTTTCTAGTTTTTTTCTTTTTTATTTACTTTCTTTAGCGTGCAGTCTCTTCACGGTCAGTATGTTTATAAAGCAATAGCTCAAAATGAATTTGCAGTCATAAATGATCATACTGTGTCTGTTTATAGAAATCGACATTCACAAATCGGACGGATGCCGCTCCGAGTGGGTAGAGGTCCGAGACGGGTACATGCCGAACGCGCCCGTTCTAGGACGGATTTGTGGCTCTGGAAAGGGTCCGATGATGAGGTCGACTGGGTCCCGGCTTACCGTCGTCTATCAACCAGGCTTAAGGCCAAAGCCGCATAGGGGATTCCGGGCTCATTATGAAGGTAAGAAACATATTTTAAAGATTTAAGTTATTTGTACACACTAATTTTAATAATACTGCGCGCACAAAAGAGAGTGAAATTTGGCATAGTTAAAGTTCATATGGAGAAGGAGTGCAGCAAGCTAATATATAAATAAATGAAAAAGCCAATATTTGATATTTGATACTCTAAAGCCAATGTCAAACATTTAATAGTCTGTGGTCAAAGAGTTGCAAGGAGTAGAGATATTTACTTAACAGATTGACTAAATGAGCTATGAACTGTAATTTCTAATGTACCATTTTTAATAGTCTGTCGAGTATGTTATGGTAAAAATACTTAATTGAATTGAGATTGTTATATTAATGTGCAGTTTAAAAGTGAAATAAGTAGAACAAATCTAAAAATTTTATGAACTACAGTCGAATTTCAACCAGTTACCACTAGTATATATAAAACACACAAAAAGTTTATCATTTTAAATAATCATTTCATCATCTAAAAATTCTTTTGAATAGTCAGTAGTGATTCCAAAAATAATTTAAGTCAGCTGAATCAGGTAAACGCTTTTACACGGATTACCAATTCGTATCCATATCCATTTCTTTTTATAATTCTGTTGTATATATTTGGGATTGAATTTCAAATTAAAAAAATACACTCAATTGATTAAAAAAACACTTGAGGCATTGTACAGTCTTAAGAATGTAGAAAACATATTATAAATAAGCCAATTTACCTTGTAGGTCATGTACTCTAGACTTTGAGTATTCTAGACTAGATCTAGACAGAAGTCAACGAAGAAAAGTACTAAAAAATTAACTTTTAACAAAAAAGTTGAAAGTTATAGAATTTTTTAACCTTTCGAGTGGAGTAAGAAATATCGCTGTAAATAATAGTTGCATTAAATATTTTCCTCCCTTATTTAACTCCTAAAAATTAGAGTTTTTTCTTCATAACCCCTGAACTATAACCAATTTAAAAAAAAAGAATTATTGAAATCGATTCACAATCTGCCATAAAATCGCGTATATATACAAAAAAATCCAAAAAAACACAATCAAAATTGTGAGTCCTCCTTTTGAAAAGTCGACTAATAAATATCCTTTTGTGAAAGATTCTGTATCATTCACGGATCTTGTCGGAATTGAATCTGTAGAAAATAAGCATTGATTTTCACACGAAACATCACTTACGATAAGGTTTCATTACTAAAAAGTACTTTTTTAACATCCCTTCAAAGCTTTGCCCAATAATTGGATAAAACGTATGAAATTATACCCGAATATTTTGGGCCAAATCCAATAAAGATTCGATAATTCAATACACCCACCCCACGGATCTATAAAAAAAAATCTGTATTATCAAGACGTTTTCTCCTGTAGGTACCTAACGATTGGGGAAAACAAAATCTGATTTCTCGAAGAATTAAATAAAGGGGATTTATTTTTGTCGGTCATTTGTACAACGCTAAACTTACGTTGTGTATGCGTATTACTCGAGGGGATAGAAAAACGAGCGGAAGCGATTTGAAGTGCTGATTTAGCAGGTTCTCGGTATTGAAAAAACAACATCATGAAGATAATACTCACACGTCTGAAAATAAAAATATATTTGAAGGACATATTATGGTCTCCGATGTATTATATATATATATATATATATATATATATATATATATATATTTTTTTCTTAACCTTAAATAGTTTTAATATATATATATATATATATATATATATATATATATATATTTGTAAAAGAGTGCAGCAAGCTTATATTTAAATAAATGAAAAAGCCAATATTTGATATTTGATACTCTAAAGCCAATGTCAAACATTTAATAGTCTGTGGTCAAACAGTTGCACGGAGTAGAGATATTTACTTAACAGATTGACTAAATGAGCTATGAACTTTGTGCAATTTCTAATGTACCATAAAATTTAGTGTCCAGGGAGTTTCGGGGGCAATAAATCGATCTAGCTAGGATTTATTTTTAGAAAATGTCTTTTTGTTCGGGCACGTTGCAATTGTTCATGCAATGTTTTTCAGGCAATGAAAAACTGCTACAATATAAGGAGGTAAATTTTGACACTGTGTTAATCATCGTAATAGCTCAAGTGGATATCGAGCGGTCGCGAAATCGAAATGCCTTGGTTCGCGTCCCGCTATCGGTCCGACTTTTTTTTCAAGTTCCCTTCTTTTGTGAAAAAATCTATTATTTCGAGCCCTTTTTTTAGTATTTTTTAAAAATCCGAAAATTTTAATTATACTAATTGCACTCATGATTTTTTATTCAAATAACCAGTTCAGTTTTTTCTATTAGGTTGTCATTTAGATCAAAAAATATTATTCATGTAATTTGTATGTAAAGGTCATCCGGGTATTATATATATATATATATATATTTTTTTTTTTTTTTTTTTAAGAGATTATATATTTTTAATTTTTTATTTGATATCAAGAAGATGGTATGCAAGACTTCATTTCAGTTTTCGTCTGTCGCCATTTACAACCCCCACGGTACGATAGTAGTAGTAGTAGATATTTTTACAGTGTCGGTTGGTCAGTGTGTGTTGTTCTAGTGGATGTATTAGTGCGACTGTTGATCATGAGATCCTGGGTTCGAATCCCGGGTCGGGCCAAAAAATTTATAATTGTGTTTTTCCGTCAAGAAATTCTCAGTAGTTGCACGGAGTCAGAAAGTTGGCTGTGTCTCACCCCCGTGCCTCGGAAAGCATGTAAAGCCGTTGGTCCTGCGCCTGAGCTCTCTCCGGTCGTATCAACCAAAACAAATAATTTGTAAATTACTCCACAAGAACATGGGATATGGTTCGAATCCAGAAGCTAGAAGCGAATAGTTAAAACGTTAACCACAGGTGCTGCTACCGGTAACGTTACTGCTGAACATAAGCCTCCCCTATAGATTGTTTCGTATCGGTTTCGCCCCAGTTTTATTTTTATTTTAGTCGTTATCAGGAAGACGCCACTGCCCATCTCCTGATTCGCTTCCCTCTGTCGCCTCTTACGACACCCACTGAATGATATGGGGTAGACATGTGTCAATCATTCATTTCTCGTGACCGAATCATTACAGTACATTTCGTCACACGTACCGGTACTTTCGGATCGATCATTCGAATGGATCATTTCGGGTTCCAGTACTCTGTAAGTCTGTGAGAACCGAAAATTTTCTATTTCACTTTGTAATAGCGCCATCTACTACGTGCTATAGATAATCATGTCATTTTATGATATTGTTAGTAGATATTCTTACAACGCTACTACACGTACTACACTACACGGTGCTGCTAATATTACACAAATTCGTAACGTTCCAGCGGTTTGCGGCGGCGACATAGAGGTTGATAACAGCGGCCATTTGGAGTCACCAAACTATCCCGATGATTACCAACCCAATAAGTTGTGCGTATGGAGGCTTTCCGTGCCACAGGTAAGTCCATTTTTGCAACATGCTTCTAACAAGTTATACTTTGTCATATTTGTCTTAACAATGAGAAAACAATATGAAAACATTTGGTGAATTCTTTACATGCAAAGTCGGATTCCAACTCATCGGTAAGAAAGTAGAAAGGAAAATATACAGTTATCTTATATGCACTTCCTTATTCAATTCAGAATATAAAAGTAATATATCATCAAGCACTTCATTACTTTCATTTGTGGATAAAATAATCACATCATCAGTGCAAAAATCTACGAAACACTTTTCATTATCATACAGATTTAATATATATCGTAGGATAATTAGATAAGCCGAATTTTCCGCGAAAATCTAGGGATATCGCAAAGACACGGATAACTAGACAATGGCTATGATTAATATATATATATATATATATATATATATATATATATATATATATATTATTAATATATGAAGAACCAGAATGTGTCAAAACAGGCACGTATGGTAATTCATAATGCTGTGTTAGTCCCTACGTTAATGTATGGTAGTGAAAGCTGGGTGTGGCAGAAGAAGCACGAAAGTAGAATAAATGCTGTAGAAATGCGTTCTTTAAGAAATATGCTAGGGTTTAATCTAAATGACAGGGTGAGAAATTGCGTGATAAGAGATAAATGTGGTATGCAAGATGATGTTGTGACCAGGATTAAGAAAGGAATGCTTCGGTGGTTTGGTCACGTAGAAAGAATGAATGATGAAAGAGTGACAAAGCAAATTTATATGGCAGATGTGAACGGCCGAGTCGGGAAGGGACGCCCTAGAAAAAAGTTTGTCGACCGAATTGGCGATATTTTGAAAATGGGCCACGTTAGAAGTACCCTTAACCGACGAGCATGTATGCGTAGATATATGGATGTAAAGGAGGCGAAAGAGGTATGTCAGGATCGTGCCAAATGGAAGTCCGTAATCTCTGCCTACCCCTCTGGGTGACAGGCGTGAGTGTTTATGTTATGTTATATATGTATATATAAATATTACAGGTTTTGCAACTTTGATTGGCTTGATTTTGGTCTAAAGGCGTATAGTGTATGAGTAATAATTTTTTTGTAAAACATTACCTTAATTTTTATACAGAAATATTGGCCCAAAGTTACTTCAGTAACAGATTCGGCGCTGCAGGAAATGCAGCCCCTTCGCCCTTGCTACTAAATTAATTTGCTACGGCGGGTGGGAGCTACTCTCCCTCCGCGCGTACGGCTTTACAAAAACACTATAGGGGTAGGACAGACAAGACTACTCGGATCCGGGGCGTGCTGTTTCGGTTTTATAACAGATTCGACCAATCGTCTTAATGTTTGGTGGTCTATACTCACACACCCTTTACTTTTCACGCTGTAATATCCGTGTTTTCGCGATATCCCTAGATTTTGCGGAAAATTCGTTTAATCTAATTATCCGACGACATAATCAATAAGATGTTTGACTTGATTACAGCGATGCTATTATCGCGGTCTTTCTAATATCGTTACACACGATACTCGTCGTCATGTAAATGAGTTTTTGCAGGCCAAGCGGCGTTTATGTTGAACATACATTGATTTCATCAACAGTGACCGGACCAAATTAACTAACCACGTCCCTGTAGCTTCGACGGTCGAAATACACAATTAATCATTTCATTTAGCACGCCACCAGCATTTATATTTCCTTCTATTATTCTTTCGCTTAGTAAATAGTTATCGTCCGCTTAACTAACTCAGAACTTATTTTATTGTTTAATCTTTGTCAAGAACGGGTATCAATCATTTATTTATTAACAACATTATATATAAACATACAGAAGACATATATAACAAACATAAAGGACGGTCCGAAAACATTATTTACATGTTAAACATATCAGATAAATTTTTCCTTTTTTATACTTAGGGGCGTCCATAAATTACGTGAGGTGTTTTCTTTTTTAATTTTCTGTCCCCCCCCCCCATACCCTGGTGAGATGTCTTGAGATTTTATTCAATCCCCTCCCCCATTCCCCAATCTCACGTGAGATTTTTCAAAATGTGGGTTTCTTACGTAAACGCGTTGGATTGTTATTGTAAAAAGAAAAAAAAATTGCTTCGTGCTTTTATTTACGACTAGTTAAGACTAGTATTACTAAAAAAATATTGATTAAATATAATACTGCTGAGAGTTATAAGTGTAATAAAAATTTAACAATAGAATACTTAAATCGTGACGACGTAAAAAAAAAGAATATCTACTCTAATTCAGTCCATGGAGAATCATGCGTGGCCTCAAGAGAGACTATTGGAACCAACATGTCCATATGATTTTCGGTAAAATCATCTGCTCCTTCAACTTCCTTCTGATCTAGCTACTCTAAGCCGTTGGCGCTTGCGCACAGTAACTCATTAGGTCGTCTTGTGACAATCCGTGAGGGTCGCACTTTGCGGAACATACGCGCTTACTTGTGAGCTGCTCGCCCGTGCTCTACAGCTCTTGTGATAGATGCAAAGTAAATACCGCATGTACTGCAGCATCTTTTCTCTAAATCATCACGTACACTTGGGCAATAGAGATCATAAGGCGTGCTGATGAAGGCATTCAGCGGTTGAATCGGTAGGCAGTGGCGTATTAGAAATGGAGCAAATGACTTTCCGTCATGCTCTTTAAAGTCCGGAATTGTCAAATGTCCATCAACCTGAGTGATAGGGTATGGAGGTGGCAGAAAATGGTCGTGAAGAATCATATGCAGATCACTCTGGCGTGGGCTGCAGCACTTCTGGTCAACAACGCAACCTAAAAAAAAATTAAGAACAATTTCCCTTTGTAACTCTTAAAAAAATTTGTTGACATTCGCGCTCGTTAACCAAAATAGTTTTTTTTTGTTTCAACTAGAAAAAAATTGCGTGATATTTTCTGAGACCCCCCCCCCTCTCTCTCCAACGTAAGATTAGATGAGATTTGACACGACCCCTCCCCCCTTTAAACATCTCACGTAATTTATGGACGCCCCCTTACTATAAGCCAGTGTTTGACCACCCACCTGGAGATAAGTAGTGATGAATCCCTAGATGATAAATCGTACTATCTTAGCGTAACAAAAGCCAAATATATAGTATAAGTACGAGCTTCGATCAATATTATTGATCGGAGAGTACGAGTAAAATATATTACGTGAACTAATTTAAATGAAAACTTAATTAGTAGTGAAAATTGTTTAATTTAAAATGCGTCATTAATTCAGCTCTAAATTTAATCTTGATAATATTTGTTTCTATTTCTCCAAGGACTAACTAGTAGAAAATATCAAAAAGCATTAAGTTCGGCTTTTGTAAACCTTAGCGTTTGAATTCAATATAGAACATGAAAATAAATTAATTATTTAATTTATTGGACTTCTGTTTTTTTGCTCACGTCTCTCAGCATATCATTCTTCAATTTCGTTTTAATTTCTTATTTCAATTATGTTATCTGTTCACAATCTATTCTTAATTGAAAATATTTTGGTCTAATTACATTTTCATCATATTTGACAGGACTACCAAGTCGCATTGCGGTTTCATTCCTTTGAAGTGGAGAACCATGATACTTGCAATTATGATAAAGTGAAAGTGAGGGACGGTGATTCTATGGACAGTCCGCTCATCGGGATGTTCTGTGGACACAAGATACCACCAGACATCAGGTAAAGTATTTCTATGCTCAATTTTGGATTAATCCTGGACTAAGTAAAATAGCTCTATCATATTTCAGTTTTGATTATTAAGAATTATAGTCCCTCTGCCAAAGGAACACCGTACAATTCATGGATCACATTGAAAAAAGATATATTTAGAAATCATCGTGCATAGTAAAGGAAATCATTGTGCATGTCTAAAAATTAAAGAGAAACCTAAAACCGTGAGCGTTGTAGGAGAGCCGTGGTAGCTCAGATGGTTAGCACTCGCTGTAAATTTCACAGTACGCGAGCAAACCGGGTTCGATCCCCGCAGGCACCGATGAAATTGTTAATTGCAATTTTAAGTGCTGATTTACCACGTGCTCGGCGGTGAAGGAAAACATCGTGAGGCAACTTGCACGTCAGAGAAATAAGAAAAAAATATTTCTAAGACATGTGAAGTTTGCCAAGACGCATTGCGACAACGCGGCGTACAACTCCTTGCCCTAAAATCCTCTCAGAAATGAGCGAAGGCCTGTGCCCAACAGTGGGACGTATATAGGCTGTAACTTTACTTTACACCAGGAGTAGGGTGTATAAATGTTGTAACTACTTTTACTTTACAAATTTAATGTTTCATCCTCGCGAATTATACCTAGCCCTACTTACGCTTATTCTATTGGTGTTAAGTGTTATTATAATAATATTGTATTTATTTTTTCTTTCTTTTTTCTACCTCTTTTACTATCTTTCTATGTCCACAAGTATATCGGCTGTTCTATTATGGTTGAAGCTTCTAGGCCACAGTCTCCACATCTTTTTCCAAATTTATTTTTCATCTTATGGATTACTTTCGAAAACGGTTATTATTTCTCCGAAAGCGAGAATTTAGCATTGAGATTTTTTTATTGTAAAAATATTTGACACTATTTAAAGTAATCGGACATGTGCGCTCAAAACTGCCCGAACTGATAATCAGTGCATAAAAAGAATGGTCTATTTCGTGGTTATGTTTATATAAATATTATTTGTTATACTTGATTTTTATATCATATTTATTTATTTAATACTGTTGAGTTTTTAATAATTTATAAGTATTAATTTTTTCATAAGTTAAATTTTTTTTTGTAAAAATTATGTCTTAATTGCCTGCTTAGACCATTCAACCCAAATGGTCTAAGTGTCCCTGTTATTATTATGTCGTGATCAACTAGCATCTGTTTTTTTTTAACTTTCTTTCTAATTAATCAATTTGATTTTTGATGAATGAAAATGTTCGTTATCGATTCCAGATCAACTTCGAACAAACTCCTAGTGATCTTCGAGTCGGATAGCTCTGTGCAGAAGGCGGGCTTCTCGGCGACGTTTATGAAGGAGTTCGATGAGTGCGCGTCCATCGACCACGGCTGCAGTCACTCGTGCGTGAACACGCTGGGCGGCTACGAGTGCGCCTGCGACATCGGCTACGAGCTGCACTCCGACGGCAAGAAATGCGAGAGTTAGTCGTGAACGAGATACTTTATATTATGTTATTATAACGGCAGACATAGTGACGCACCACTGTCGTGTTTACGTAAGGCCCGTAAGTGCGACCAAGAGCGCAACAGGTGGCGTCCTCTTTCCCCATTTATTGAACCGCGGGCAGCGTATTTTAATTTTTTTCACATTTTTTCACTTCGCAACGTCCGAATGATCTAAAATTTTACATAGGTACATATTAAGAATTAATGACAATACAAGAATTTCATGATTGTGACTTAGTACACCTACTAGTTTTATCACATACATACCACGATCAAAGCGTTTTGTTTTAGTTTTTTTTTATATAGAATAAGGGTGACAAACGAGCACGCGGTCCACCTGATAGTAAGTGGATGCTGTGGCCCATAGACATCTACATTTATCCTCGTTGTCATTCCCAAGGACTAAAATAGAATGCCTCATTTGCAGTAAAAAAGGGTCTCCGGATCTCTACCACACGAAACACAGCAGTATTGAGCTGCTATTTTACGCTGGTATTTTGTGAGAGCGTGGTCCTTCCCCAGTCGAGACGACTCATTCATACTACAACCATAATATAACTGTAGCCTGGCTCTATCACATACAAACCACGTTTTTTAGCCGGCGACGAGCAGCAGTTCTAAGGTGCAAGACTTCTGGTACTGTGATCATCATCCGCCTGCCAAGAATGACGATTAAGGCCAATTTTCCCTATAACGGGTATAATCTTTATACGTGGTAGAGCCATGCTGCAGTTATATTAGTAGTATAGTTGTAGCACGAATGGGTCGGCCCGACCGGGGAAGGACCACGCTCTCACAGAATACCAGCGTGAAATAGTAGCTTAATGCTGCTGTATTTCGTATGGTGAGTGTAGAGAACCGGAGACCCTTTTTACTGGAAACGAAGCATTCCATCTCAGTCCTCACGGGTGACAACGCATCTGCATTTTGATTTTTAATGGAGGATAGATGTAGATGTCTATGGGCCGCAGCAACCACTTACCATCAGGTGGACTGTGTGCTCGTTTGTCACCCTATTCTATAAAAAAAAAAACGGGAAAAGCCTACGTTCAGCAGTATACTTTTACAAACCGGTAAAGAAAAATTTCTAATCCAGAAACATAACATTTAGCGATTTGTCTGGTCATAACAACAGTCTTACTCTCTTACCCTCTCTATTATAAAATTACTTGAAAACCAAATGTCTATCACAACATGTGGAACAAAAGTCTAGCGGTGACATTATTGCGCATAATTGACCGTATTGCGCATTATTGCGTATGATTGGCTGTGCGTATCGTTGGCACGCGCTGATTGGCTCTATAGTAGCATTCCGTCCCCCGTACTGTTACGTCATTCGCAGCTATCCCATCCACGTTTGGTTCAGCGCTAGAGTTACGTGCCGCGAGTTATATAGATGTACTGTTAAATTTAATTGAATAATACCTGGAGAAATTATGGATTTAATACATATCTATGGAAAGTAAGCTTGAATAAGACTTAGCTTAAGATCGGTGGTATGAAAAAAGCGGCTCACGAAGAACAGTCAACTTATATTCACACATTCATAATATACAACTTTAAATAAATAATTGATATTGTATTTTCCTTAAATAATTGTAGAATAAAAAAAATATACAAACTTTTCAAAGTCCTGTTATAGGTGACTGTATGTCAATAATCGGATTTCCGAGGAATCAATATCAACATTTTCAGATGCATGTGGCGGTGTATTATACGCACCTAACGGTACCATCACGTCCCCATCTTTCCCGGACCTGTACCCACCTTCGAAAAACTGCCTGTGGGAGATCGTGGCACCGCCTCAGCATCGCATCACTCTAAATTTCACGCATTTTGACCTTGAAGGCACCAACAATATGTACCACCAGGTAACGGACAGTTTAATTACAAGTATTTTTTTTATTTTACTACTTTTAATAATTAACACACAGAAGTATTGGAGAAAATATCTTCAGCCAAAGATCCATAACAGTTCGAAGACACTACGGTAACCGCTCTCGTAGCACAAAACACATTGTAAACTGGTGGGTAGTGGAAAATAAATACTTTAGAAAACTCTGAGGAAAGGTTAGGTTACGAGGTAGGTAGGCTAGAAAATTCTTAAAAATTTCTTTAGCAACAACCATTAATACTTCTCTGACTGGATCATTTAATTCTTGACGTAATCCTAGAACCATCTTAAACGAAAACCAGAAAAATTCTGTAGTCTTGAAACTACATACTCCAACGAACTCTATGAACTAATGTCCTTAACTAAACTCGCTACGAAGACATTGTTTGAACGCTACAGTCCACTTAACCGTTTACTGTTAACTGCCCTCTAACTAAACTCGCTACTGTACTTGTCGAAATGTAAATCGGTCTGAACTGTAAACCTGTAATATGACCGGTCTATTGCTACTACAGTTTATTGATTTGTTGGATTATTGCGCAAACACTCAAACGCTGCTCAATTTCAAGATGCTGTTAAGTCTCGTGCTGTCTCTATCACTTTAAGTCAAAGTGACAGAGACACCACGAGACTTAACGATATCTTAAAATTGAGTAGCGTTTCAGTATCTGGCCATTAGTCTCGTGGTGTCACAGAAACTTTGACTCAAAGTACAGAGACTACACGAGACTTAACGGCGTCTTAAAATTGAGCAGCATTACTTTACGGCGTTAAAGTAAAGTAAAATAAGTAAAGCCACATCCCATATACGGCTCACTGCTGAGCACAGATCTCCTCTAACTTTGAGAATGTTTTAGGGCAAGGAAGTGTCCACCAAAGTTAGCAAGCTTCACATGTCTTCAAAATAGTTTTAGTTCTATTTCTCAGACATGCAGGTTTCTTAACGATGTTTTCCTTTACCGCAGAGTACGTGATGAAACAGCACTTAAAATTGCAGTTGACAATTTCATTGGTGCCGGCGGGGATCGAACCCGGGTTGCTCGCGTACTGTGAAATTTAAAACGATCGCTAATCCCCTGAGCTACCATGGCTCTTAACGACTTAACGACATCTTTAAATTGTGTAATGTTGAGTATTTGACAAATATGACGGTCTCCATGGTTCGATTGAGGATATCTTCGTTACAGTTATCGTTAACTTGTGGAATGGAATGTATGTTGTCAGGAGTGCGAGTACGACAGCGTGACGGTGCACTCGCGGCTGGGCGACGACGTGCTGCGGCGGCACGGCGCGTTCTGCGGCTCCGCGCTGCCGCCGCCCGTCACCTCCGACGGATCCGTGCTGCGCGTGCAGGTACAAAGTACACTCTAACAAACACTAGTGATGGCCGATTCTTGCTTCAACGGAATAAATCTGTACAAATAAATACAATAGGTGTGTCTGCTTGTAATATTAGAATTATAGCTTTTTATTAAATACATATGAATATACATAATCTCAGATATCATGCGTCCACTATACACTTTTAATAAAGAATATATAGTGGAACTACCCGCCACAGATGACTGGCTGAATGGACAAGTTATCTGTGAGGTCGGTAGTCTTATATGGTATACCGATAGGTCAAAAATGGACCTCGACGTAGGCTTTAAAATTTATGGGGAACGCCCCATTTTCAAGGTTAGTATGAATTAGAGAAAATTCACCTCTATCTTCCAAGCAGAAATTTTCGCCATACTCTGGTGTGCGGAAATCAACCAGCAAAAACACTACGTCAACCATATAATTTATATAAACTCTGATAGTCAAGGATCATTGGTAGCGCTGAGATCAAACTTAGTGACCTCCAAGCCAGTTGAAGACTGCGTGGACCGTCTAAACGCCCTGGGATGTAACAACAGGGTCGTTTTGAGATAGGTTACGGGTCATACGGCTATTGTAGGCAATGAACTTGCCGATAAGGTTGCACGGGAGGACTCGAAGAGTACACAATTTGTACCCGAGCCATTTTGTGGAATCCCAAAAGCCGGGCCTGATTGATCATTGAAACTCTTTATTAAAATAAATCACTTAACAACTGGTCTGGTACACCAGGCTTACAATATTCTGAAAATTTAATTTGGGCTTATGATCGTAAATTGGCTTTAGAAGCTTTGAGATTAAATAAGAATAAACTGCGTATTCCGACAAGAGCCCTGACACTGTTGTTTTACAAACACATGTCTATCCTGGAACTAAACAACTCAAGAATGTGCCGATTCTATTTCTTAACGGAAGAAACAGCACAATCTAACTGATTGTTGACCCTTATTGCGCAAACGTAACACTCATCTGGGAAACTATGTACATAGCTCAAAAGAAGGTAAATTGCTAACAGCTAACTCCTTAAATTAAGTGAATACATAGGGCTTAGTAGTGAACTATAGCCAAAGCGACGGTCACAATAGATCTTACAGGTCGCAGTCATAATGATTTTTTCGTCTGAATGATCGAGCTTCGATCTGAGCTGCTTACACAAAAAAATGCATATGAAAATATAACAAGAATATAATTTTTAAAATTTTCGTCTGTTTGTCTGTTTGTTCGGGCTAATCTCCGAAATGGTTGCACCGATTTTTACAGGACTTTCACTGACAAATAGCTAATGTTATAAGGAGTAATTTAGGATATTTTTATTTTAGAAAAAGAATTAGTTTTCTTTTCGTTCAAAAAAATTATAGCCCATAAAATCTAATCGTAAGAAATTCCGCGCTTACAAAGTCGGGGAACAGCTAAAAATTATTTTTGTTTGTTCTTATTCTATGGGCTGCCACACCGTTCATCTGATTGCGGTAAAACTTTGTCAACAGCACTTCCGCGAAGCTTATAGGCGTTGTTGGGCCCAGTAGGTGGCGTTTTTGTAGAATGCAGATATCACCCGTGCGAAACTGGGGCAGATCGCTAGTCATAAATAAATAAAAATATTTTATTTCAACCATCATGGATTATTTGTGGGAGAATTCCTAACTTTATTTTTTATTGCTCCATTTTCCACTGCGTGCGTATTATATCCAGCGTAACCAACTTACCAAATATCGGTGGACAAAAAGTAACTTTACTTGAAACGTTTTTTCTTTTTATCAGAAAATAAAAGATTTCAAAAAAATGACGCCAATTAAGAATCTAATTAAATCACATGCCATTCCTCTTATCGAAAAATATTTTATAAAAAGTAGTTTCTTTTTTCTTTAAGAATTCATAAGTTAAGAATTCAATTGAGTATTCTTGAGCATCAAAATCGTATCTAAAATACGATAATGTTATCAAACCTGACCTTAATAATAATTCACATTTACAAAAAGAAAAAGTATAATACAAAAACAATTGAATGAAATCTATGACTATACAGACGCTTGTTTTAAGTGTAACGAAATTAAAAAAAAAATAATTATAATATCTTTATACATATTCATGACCCAGAACGACGTCAACATGCACTGATTTTTCTCAATGAGGGGATTGATTGTGTTTCCTTACTAAGGGGATGTGACTATTTTAAGGAGAATTCAGACTCCAGAGGGGAAGAAAACGAAAATACATTAAGAACTTTCTTAAGCAGAGCAGTATAACCGCATATTTTGTCAGTTCACATCGGACACGTCGGTGCACCACTCGGGCTTCGCGGCCACGTACTACATGGACGTGGACGAGTGCGCGGAGAACAACGGCGGCTGCCAGCACGAGTGCCGCAACACGCTGGGCGGCTTCGAGTGCGCCTGCCACAGCGGCTTCGCGCTGCACCACAACAAGCGCGACTGCAAGGAGGGTGGCTGCAAGCACGACATCACGCATCCGCACGGAACCATATTCAGGTATGTTCCTTTTTATCGGCCGTTTAAAAATATTCCGCTTCCTTTATATTTTCTTTAAAAAAAAATTTAATGCCATGATACTAGTTTTCTTTTTTATTATAGCCTAGAAAGCAATCAAAAAGATGAAAAATATTGCAAATAGGGTAATGTGGTGCAAATGTGTTTGCCACGCTGCAACTATATTTCAGTTGCAGCACGAATGAGTCGGCTCGAACGGAGAAGGACCACGCTTTCACAGAATACCGACGTAAAAAATCAGCTCGATGCTACCGTGTCTCGTATGGTGAGTGTAGAAAACGGGAGACCCTTTTTACTGGAAACGAGGCATTCTATCTCAGTCCTCACGGGTGACGACGCATCTGCATTTTGATTCTTAATTGAGTATAAATGTAGATGTCTACGTGACACATCATCCACTTATTCACACCGTCCGGTGGACTGTGTGCTTGTTTATCGCCCTATTCTTTAAAAATAAAGAATAGTTTTCATTTAATGAACGTTCTGAAATATGGTTGTAAATATTGCTTTTATCCAGGGTTCTCCAGCGACGCCCCCTCGTTTATTTCGCGTGATAGTTACATTTATGATCATACCGTAATGTGGTATCTTACGTGCGAAATTTCACCAAATTCATTAATCGATTTATGTGTAATAACGTAACGTAACTACAGGCCATCACGAGATCCTTGCTGAACATAGGCCTCCCAAACTACAAAAATAGTTAATAGGACACCTTTCCTGTTGATAAGTCCATCCGGATAGCTACCTTATTTCTGCATACAAACAGGAGTGCCTCTGCTGCTGTGTTTTGGTCTAGAGGATATAGAGAGCTAACATAATTAAAGGCTTGTTAGGCAGTACATCTTAGTTATCAGAGGTGAGAACGCATTTTTGTAGCTCTCTTGGTTTGAAATTGTTTACAGGTGTTTACAAGTTCCTTTGTCACTTCTATTTTAAAAAAAGATTTTTTAACTTTTTTATTTTACTCATGACTAATCTTTTAAAATTCTATAGCAATTTGTTTGTTTGTTTTTTTCTAGCGATATGGTATCAGATAATTTGCTTACTTCACTGCTCTCATTAAATGCTATTTAGTCTGAGTGGTTCTACCTTGAAGTAAATTAACAAAGTAAGGAGTTATATTAGTAAATATACAAGTAACATCAGCTCCAAACTCTTATGTATTAGATATTTCGTTTTGTTGACGTTTCCATAAATATGAATTACCTATATTGATTTTTACACCGTCACTACGTCGTTTAGTATAATATATCGTCTGTCGGTGTCGTAAGAGGCAACAGAAGAAAAATGAAACGGGAGATGAGCAGCAGCATCTTCCTGATAACAATACAAAATAATAAAAAGACTGCGGTTGCCAACCCGCCTGCCAATCTATGGTGGAGGTCTACGCTAAGCAGTGGACTTTTATATACAGTCCGCTCACAGTTATTTGCTACCTCTACCTCTGACATCTGTAATTGTATTTTCTTGCTAGGTTGGCATTATTTGTTGTCAAGTACTGCAGGCGTATTGAAAAGCTTCTCAGATTTTTCTGTTGTATCGGTGACTATTAATCTTTTAATCTCCCAAAGGATTTAAAGTAGCGGGAAAAATAGTGCTATCAGTGCGCAAGTTTTTCTAACAGGAAAAACTTAATAAAGGCCAAATAATTCCATTTGTAAATGTTCATCAACGGGTTCGTTCGTCAACCATGACAGGTAAGTAGAATAGTATTACCTGCTATTCGTGTTTTTCTCATACTAGTGAAGACTAAAATTATGTATTTTGGTCACGATTTTTGTTACGTTAAGTTTCTTTATAATTAGAAATAGTATAGTAACGTCATTTTTTTTTGTCAAAGTAATATTTCAATTTAATTTTAATAACGAAACAACTTTTTTAATCCAAAATTGTTTTGTTTTTGTTCAATTATATTCTACAAATATATTATAAAAAAAGTATTTACATGCATACATCTACAAAAATATCCACACCTAAAAAAACGGAATTAACAAAAATAAATGAGTTGGATGATTTTGATCGGTGTGCAATCAGAAATAAAATATATCAAATATACATAGTCATACGCATAGTATTTGGGGTAAATAATTATCTGAGTCAATAATTGACACCAGTTTTAATGGGGATCGTACCACGTTATGGAAAATCCGACAAATACGATTTCGATTTAATTTAACATTGTAAAATTTGATACAAAATCGTAAAGAAGGCCGACCTATCATAGACCTTGATGAGACATATATTTACGCTTCATACTCTGTGAAAAAATGTCAGCAAACCGAAAATGAAGAAGGCATTTTAAAGAGTGATTCAGTTGGTGCACGCTGGATTATTGTTCATGAAGGTGTTGGAATAGGCTTTATACCAAATGCGCAATTGATATTTAAATCACAGTCGAAATTGGGTGATAAGCAATAATGACATGAACAGATCAAATTTTATGAAATGGTTACAGGACAAATTTATACCTAATTTACCGCCTAAAAGTTTAATAGTGATGGATAATGCACCCTATCATTCTGTAAATGTGAATAAGGTACCAACATTGAGTTCTACCAAAGCTGATATGCGAAATTGGATCACAAATAAGGAACTGTATTATGTGCCTCCTATGACTAAAGCTCAATTGTACGAAATTATAAAAGAGCATAAAGGAGCTCTAATATATAAAACTGATTATTTGCTTGAGGCGCATGGACACAAAGTGGCTAAACTTTCACCGTACCCCTGCGAATTGAATACCATAGAATTTATGTGGAGCCCTTTAAAAGGGCGTATAGCTAGTAAGAATGAGGGACAGGAAAAAGATAACATAGTAACGTTAACCGAAGAAGCTTTAGGGTCCGTTCACACAGACCGGCTCGGAGAGCATCGGCCTGCTTTTTTCTTTTCACACAGACCGGGTCGTATACGCTTGGAATTGGCCGGAGCGGAGCCGCCAACTATTTCACATCGACCGGCTGGAAGAGATCTGAAAGCGGGTGCGGTTGGATGTGCTCGGAGCCGGTCGGATGCGCTCGGAGTCGGTGGATACACTACAAAGGCAGTGCCAGTATTCCGCGCAGTCTAAGTTTTGTTTTCGGTGTGTTAACGTGTGCTTTTCGAAACATGGATTTAGATAGCTCCGACGAAGAAATATATTTGTTAGCAAGATTACTTGAAATAGAACATAGGAAACGTAAGCGCAAGCGGAAACAAATATGGGTAAAACATATTTGGAAAAACAGACTAATCCATGGGGAGTTTCACACCATTTTCGAGGAATTGAAGAGAGATAGCCTAAAATTTTATGAGTATTATCGTATGGAATATTGGCAATTTTTGAAATTGACAGATTTGTTAAGAGTACATATAACAAAAAAGACTACAAATTATCGTTGCACCATTACAGCCGAAGAAAGGTTAACGGTAACTTTAAGGTAAATAAAAAACAATTATTTATACTAATCATGTTATTTAGATCACAAAATCACAGCCCTCCATTTATTAAGCATTGTTTACGTTAATGAAATGTAAATTACTTATACTAATCATGTTAAATAACACAAACATCTAAATAGATCACAAAATCACAGCCCTCCATTTATTAAGCATTATTTACGTTAATGAAATGTAATTAAATAGTACAGATTTGTGTGTGTTTAATTATTATTATTATAATTATTATTGTTTTTGATTGTTTATTATTTTGTATTTTGTGTGCTGGTATTGTATCCGTAAGTAGTCTGATCTGGATAGTTTTGAGGAATATAGGTTTCGTTTGACACTAGGTAAGTAGATTGATTAGTCGATGGCGGTGAATTTATAGACAAAGAATAATTCAAATCTGTACTATTTTCATACAGACTTAATTCAGCTTCATTAACAATGTTAAACACGCGCCTTTTAATTCGTGCTTGGACTTCTTTTGGGAATGTTTCCACTGTATCTGACATAGACAAAAAAAAATTACGTAATGCCTTGTCACGGGGTGTAGTATTTCTTTTTTCTTCAAGATACTCTTCGAAAACCGTAGCAACATCTTTGCTTAAGCGTGGTCTCTTTTTCGAGCCAGAAGTACTTGCAAGCGATTCAACTTCAGAATGGTCAGAACGTTTAGATGATGTCGATGGTGGTGGTATTGGTGTGCCAGGCTCTGAATCATCCGATGATAATGTTACATTAGATATTTGGTTTCGATTGCGAAAAAATGGTATTATAAAAGAAAGTTCTTTTTCAAATTTTATCAATTTGGACGTAGTTGCACCATCGCCACTCTTGCCTTTTCGGTTATAATAGGCTTTTCTGAAGTTATCTCGCAGTTTCTTCCAACGATCCTGGCACTGCGTCACTGGAAAGAACAGAAATGAAAAATTAATAACATAACTCTTTTTTATTTTATAGTTCGTTTTGGTACGGCAGTCTTATATTTCTATTTTGTGTGTTTGTTTTATTTTTACAGATTCCTCATCACTGGTTGCAGTTTCAAAAACTTGTCATTTAATTTTCGAATGGGAATTTCTACAGTTCATTCAATTATTCATGAGACAATCAGAGTAATTTGTGATGTTTTGATGCCCATAGTTATGCAGATGCCAGATGAAGAAATGTGGGAAAAGGTTTCACGTGATTTCTTTAATATTTGGAATTTTCCTAACTGTTTGGGCGCTATAGACGGAAAGCATGTCAATATACAGGCACCAGATAATAGTGGAAGCTTATACTATAATTATAAAAACTTTTTCAGTACAGTGTTACTAGCTGTGGTCGACGCGAAATACAGTTTTTTAATTGTTGATGTCGGATCATATGGTAAAAATAGCGACGGCGGAATTTTACAGAATTCAAAATTTTGGAAAAAACTCAACACCAATAAGTTAAAGCTGCCCCCAAATAAACCTCTACCTAGTACCACTGAAAGCTTACCACATGTTTTTATAGGAGACGAGGCATTTCCTTTGAGCAATAATATATTGCGGCCGTATCCAAGAGAACAAGCAAGAACAGAATTATCAAAAAAAGTATTTAATCTGCGTTTAAGCAGGGCAAGAAAAGTCGTAGAATGTGCATTTGGAATGCTAACTCAAAGATTTGAAATTTATCAAAAACGAATGAAAATTCAGCCGAAGTACTGTGATTTAATTATATTAGCAACTACATGTTTACATAATTTTTTAATAGAAAATCGGACGCCAGGACAAGAGAATGAATTTCACAGCAATATAAATTTATTAACAGCAATAACAGACAATAATAATGAAAACAGTTCTAATAGCGACGCAGTTCTAACCACAAGGAATAAATTTAAGGATTATTTTTCATCAAGTGGTGCTTTAGATTGGCAAGATCAAGTGGCTACGCGAGTTTCTTAAGTTATATTTAATAAAAATTGTCTACTACATAAGTATATTCTAACGATCAGATACTCAAACGAGTTTTTAAAGTAAGGGCGCATTTAAACTCATGTTATTCCTATTTTGACTTTGAATCTAACACGTCGCAGCACGAGTTTAAGAAGCCCTTGCTTTAAAATTCGTTTGAGTATCTGGGGGTAGGTGTAAAACAATGAAAACCTTACTTACCACTTATTCCGAGACATTTGCTAATTTCCTCCCATGCATTGTCTTTCATTATCCGATCGCTATATGATGGCTTGGTTATGTCAAATAAACACTCATATTTTGACACGAGTATTATTAATTTTTCATCATTCATCTTTTCGTACAAGTACGCACAACTATTACGTTCAAATGTTGCTATCAAAATGGCGGTCGGCGCGGCCGCAGCGGGCACGCAATCGGAGCCGATCGGCTACGCGATAGAGAAAGAGCACGCAATCGGAGCCCATCGGCTGCGCGAGCGAGAAAGAGCACGCAATCGGAGCCGACAGGCTGCGCAAGCGAGAAAGAGCACGCAATCAGAGCCGATCGGCTGCGCGAGCGAGAAAGAGCACGCAAGCGGAGCCGGTCGGCTCCTTTTATTACTTCACACGAAGCGCGTTCAGGCATTTTTAATGACAAAAAAGGTGCAAATGCAAAAATAAACTTTACTACAATCACTCAAAACACTGTTTCCAACGTGATAAAAATCTGCTCTCCTCTCCGAGCCGGTCTGTGTGAACGGACCCTTATTACTTCAGAACACTGGCAAATGCAATGCGAACATGTGCGCCACATTGAAGATCGGTTTTTTTTTTTAAACTGATAGATGTATAGATGCTGAAATGGACAAGCTTATTATAGAATTGAATGCCGAGTCTGATACAGAATCTTACAGCAGTTTTGATGATTCATGTTCATCAGATAGTGGCTTATCGACATTAGCTAACCGCATAGATCCACTTTTGTTAATAATAAATGGAAGTTATAAAACAAATATTTTTTTGGTGTAGAATACCTATTATTATACTAATGTACTGTTATTAAAAATGCCTACTACTATTTTATACAAGGAAATCATACAAACCTCTTATGTCAACACAGGGCTTAAGTTAGCCAACTATATAGCTAGAGAAAAAATAACTGTAAACGAACTTTATAAGCAATCTATTATAAATACTCTATGGTAAAAACCAACTTCAAATAACCAAAAAGAATTAAATAATTTCCAAAAATGTAATAGCTTTTCAAGTCGTGGCTTTAATTCGTTAATATACAATATCTTAGCACCAACTTCAGAAGGTTTTAAATTATATAGAAATTATTTTAATCTTTTTTAGTTTTAACGTCAGTTTTTACTTTTCTTTTTAAGTTTATTTGACTCTTTGCAGTGGACTAAGCAATATCACAAGCTCAAGGTAACAACTAAATATCCTCTAAATAGGTACACTAAAAACTTCATCTATCTACATATTATCAACATATCCTATTTTCCCACACTTAGGGTCGGAACCATTTCTTCAAATATAAATGAGATCATTCCGAAAGAATTACCTAAGCTAATTAGTAAAAAGGAATCATTAAAATAAGTTCACAATATCCCCCCTATGAGGCAATCTATGGGGGAGGTCTATGTTCAGCAGTGGGCTTTAGCACGCTGTAATGGTAACGGTAAAATCAGTTCACAATATTACACAAAAAATACAGTCGTACTGAGAACCCCTTCTTTTTTGAAGTCGGTTAAAACTAAGCACATAAGTCTGCACATAGTAGGGTTTTACTTAGGATTTGTCTTTTTTATCTAAGTACGCACATTTCACAAATTTTTTTTTTAATTTTAACCGGTATTTAACAACATCGTATTATACGGTTGTTTGTTTATTGTTCGCAGTCCAAACTATCCCGACACGTATCCTTCTAGAAAGGACTGTGTCTGGCAATTCTCTACGACTCCTGGTCACCGCATCAAGTTAATCTTCAACGTGTTCGAGCTGGAATCACATCAGGTATACAACTTATCTTTATCATCATCACCTATTTCGATATACATTACAACTTTATCACATCACTACCGTTCATTTTGCAACTTCACTCCAAATTCCAACGTCATGTGCAACAACGTCACTCTAGTAATATCGTGCAGAGGGAATATCGATCCTCAGACAAGACTAGCTTGTCTGCGCAGGACAGGATAATAGCGCCCGAAAGTGTGCGCAAATCCAGTTGTATCTATATTTCCTCACACTTATCAATCCAGTGGGACGATAATTTGAGATAACCAGAGACTAGAGAGATCAGTTTCAGGGGCAACTGTTTCATGTACTTTACGAGGCAGCGATAATAAACAACGCGAACTTCCCGACTCCGGGCTACTACTAATAATTTATGGAAATATAAACCCAATAACTGATTTTGATCCGACCAGTGATTTGAACCCGGAACCACAAGATCAGCAGTTTCGCTTTAGACTTTTGGACGCGGAAGAAAAAGAACGCCAAGGTGTCCCGTCCAGGGTGCGGCCAACGCTCCGCTACGCAGAACTGTTCTATATAAAGCGCAATACTTCGGTACTTTGATAGCGTGATTTAGGTTTCGCTTGTGACGCAACGACAGTGCCACCACACCACTCCTGCTCAGATCGGAAGTCGATGGTGCCAGTCTAGTTATCGACGAATATGCAAGTTCCAGGTATTGCTTTGTAGTCTGTGGTGAGTTGAGAAGAAGGCAAGTAAACTGTGAGAGTGCGGTGAAGCAGAGGCGAGCAGTAAGGCTCAAAGTCGAGCATTGTAGCGAGAACATTGTAGCGCAGAGAGTAGCTTGCAATAACAGGAGGCGTTATTCCAGTGCTGCGATGAACCTTGTAAAGCTAGATGTCTTGCAAGATCTGAAGACTGCAGACATCTTTTTTTACATAGGGAAATGCATACGCCTACCCGCTTCGCGGGGGCAAGGACGGATTATGTCGGACTCGCACCGACTAAAACCCCATGGTGTTCCACCTTGCTGCCAACGCAGCATGGCAGCACCAATCCGAAAACTGAAGGTAGCTGGACTAACTGTGACATTGGTATTTCAAACATCTCATTCCCCCCCCCCGTGGCCATGGGTGCTGTAAAGCACCTGAAACGTCGGAAATTAAAAATAAGTTAATTAAACGCGATAAAATCAGTACGTATAAATAGTTTTATTCAATGTGTAATGTTCGAGTAAATTTAAGAAACCATTAACTTAGAATGTGACTTTACTCTAAATTCTCGTATTTCTTGTATCTTGTCCCTGTTTTTTGCCAATAATCACTGGTCTTTACAGCTTAAAATCTTACGTATTACTACCTAAACAGGAATGTACGTACGATCACGTGTCGATATACGATGGCGCGTCAGCAGATGAGAAGACACTGGGACGATTCTGCGGCAGCAAGTTGCCGCATCCTGTTGTTGCCTCACAGAATCAGATGTATGTCGTGTTCAAGTCCGATGCGTCCGTTCAGAGGAAGGGTTTCCTAGCTACTTACTCAACTGGTAATCATTTTATGCTTTCATTACCGATCACCCTCTTACTCACTTTTTATTATAGTTAAGTAATAAAGGTTTCAAGTAAGTGATAGAAACGACAGCCCACGCGCTTCTGGTATGGTGGTATGTCTGGAGGTCGCCACATACAGAGCTATACATCTCGGCAAGTCGAGGTCGCTCCCAGTGGTCGTCAGCAATATCAAGGGACTGCTGAACTGCTTCGAAGATAATTAATCGCTCGAATAACTACAATAGTAGTTAGTTAGTACCAGTTCTGGCTCACTGAGTCAGAAGTGGTACAACGTTCGTCGAGACTCACGATCCTAAAAAAAAGGGTTTTGGCATGCTCTGATCACGAATCTGCGATTGATACTACAGATGATAAACCAGGGTCACATTGGGTAGCTTTATATATCGATACGAATGACGTCGATCAATATTTTGATTCGTACGGACGAGCACCTGTACGATATCATCTAGAGTTTTTAAAAAGAAATTGTAAAAGATGGAACTGAAATGTTAATAGGATTCAGAATGAGTGGACTTCAGTTTGTGGCGAATATTGCTTAATGTATTTGCTATATAAGTTTCAGGGATGTTCAATGCATAGTTTTACGAGTATATTTACAGGGAACACATTGTACAACGATATTTTAGTGGATGAGATGTTTCGCTCCTATTTTATGGATAATAAGTAGTAATATTTTGTATTTTATAAATAAAAATTGTAACAAAATTAGGTAATGTATTTTATTGATGATTCAGATTAGCGTTGCAGTTAGGAACAAAGGAGTATAATACAATAGCACTGATAATCCGACGCACACGCTGAGGAGAATAGATAATGACGATATTCAATGAACAATAGATAAATAGATAAGAACAATGGAGCGCTAATGACGGTGGAGGCCCTCACCGGATATCAATTAGATAAGAGTTAATTGATCTGCACATCTCCGGAACCGTGCATCCTACGCAAAAACGGACCGCAAATTCGTGATCAGAGCATGCCAAAACCTTTCTCTTTTAGGATCGTGAATCTCGACGAAGGTTGTACCACTTCTGACTCAGTGAGCCAGAACTGGTACTAACTAACTACTTACAATAGTCTTTCCAACACGCAAAATCGACCGTTAGAAGTACAGTAATTGGGAAAAATAGTACATCTTAAACTAAACTAGACTAAGGAAGCACATCAGCCTGTCTCATTCTGTGACTAGACTTGCTTATGGACTTTACGTAGCTTAACGTTAAAAATTTTTCCGTATGGTGGTGGCATAAAGACCCACTAACTGTAGCATAACTCATTACGTCACGTTTTGAATATGGGGAGAAAAACTTCATGACCTTTTCATAGGTGGTATCAATATCTAGTCGTAGATGCAGGATTTTTATTACTTAATTTATCAATTCACGCATTGATTGCCTCATCATTATATTATTATGGGGGATTATGGGGGATATTTTCCACAGTTGTTAAACTTCACATGTCTTCGAAATGTTTTTTTTTCTTATTCCTCAGACATGCAGGTTTCCTCACGGTATTTTTCTTCACCACCGAGCACGTGGTAAATCAGCACTTAAAAAAATGCAATTAACAATTTCATTGGTGCCGGCGGGGATGGAACCCGGGTTACTCGCGTTCTGTTATATTTACAGTGAGCGTTAACCATCTGAGCTACAACGGCTCTTATATTATATATAGGATTGTAGTGCCCAAGTGTATATAGCCCAAGCACAGGTGCACTCCCTATTCCCTCACTCTCAATCCGATGGGACGGTAAACCTACACGACCGGAGAGAGATCAGGCGCAGGACCAACGGCTTTACTTGCTTTCTGAGGCACGGTGATGAGACACCTTCAGCTTCCTGACTCCGGGCAACTACTGTTAATTTCTTACTCAATAATTGAATTTTTGTAGTGCGACCTCATTATCAGGAGTCGCACTACAAAAACTAGACAGTCGATATACATAACGGATAAATAACCGAGCACAATTCGGATTCGTATCCTACAGTACTGGCCGTTATTGAAAATAGAATTTGGGTACTCGCTAGCGGTACTGAATAGAGCGGTACGCACGAAGGAACTGGAAACGCGTGATCGATACTCAGAACCGTGTTCTGTGGAATTCTCGGGTATTGTATCTATACTCAATACTCAATAACTTTAATGCCTTCCATAGGTTACAAAAGGTGTTACATAGTTTTATTGTATCTCTATAGACCCTGATGGGCACAGCAATATTATGAAGGAGGAACATTTATTTTGTTTTATTATTATTATTTGCTGCCACTATACGTGCCGTGTAGTGGCGGTTGAAAAAATCCACTACCCATATCTTCCCGTGGGTGTCGTAAGAGGCGACAGAGGGAGACAGGCAGGAGATGGGCAGCAGCATCTTCCTGATAACAACTGTGATATAATAAATAACTGCGGTTGCCAACCCGCTCGCCAAGCGTGGCAACTATGGCAAATATCCCCCCATGAATAACGACGCAAACAGACGGCCCCCCAGTCCCCGGCGGCCCCGCTATTCCTGGCTACGGTGGCGATCATGGTAACGGCGGGGCAGGGGGTGCTAAGAATATCCGGTGGAGGTTCGGTTACCACCTACGACGACTCGACCTGGGAACATATAACGCACGCATCTTGAGGACTGACTAGAAGATACTGGAGCTGGAAGAAGAGGTAGAGAAGTTGCGCTGGCATATTATTGGATTATCCGAGGTTCGAAGAGAGGGGGAGGACACAGCAATCCTCAAGTCCGGCAACTTGTACTATCACCGAGAGGGCGACCATTTGTCCCAAGGAGGTGTCGGATTTATCGTCCACAAGTCTCTCGTCAACAACGTTGTAAAGATTGGGAGTGTGTCCACGAGGGTCGCGTACCTGATATTCAGAATCACCAAACGGTATTCACTGAAGGTCATACAGGTTTATGCGCCAACCTCGGCACATCCCGATGAGGAGGTAGAGGAAATGTATTTACCTCCACATATAAATTTACCAACTGTTCAGTGATGTCTCAGTGATTGCAAGGGTGAAAACTGGCAGCGATCACCGAATGGTTAGTGGCACACTGAACCTAAACGTTAAGTTGGAGAGGTCTCCTCTAATGAAGTCAACGCTCCGTCCCCCTCGTGCTCTAATCCAGAATCCCGAAACATTTCAGCTCGAGTTACGTAACCTCTTTGAGTGCCTAGAAGATTGCAATGCAGTGGACGATATGAATGACAAGCTCGTGGAAACTGTCCATGTGGTCGGAGCTAAGTTCTGCAAGACCCGCCGTAGAGGAACACAAAACTCTCCGATCACACTCTTAATCTCATGGCTGTTAGACGGGAGATGAGGCTGCAATCGTCAACAGATTTGACAGCATACAGGCAACTGAACAAACAGATCTCCAAATGCATGCGGCGAGACTTACGCAACTTTAATACTGCTCGTATTAAAGAAGCGATCGAGCGGAACTAGGGCTCCAAAGTCTTTGCCAGAGATCTGTCTGCTAGAAAGAGCCAACTGTCAAAGCTGAAGACTGAGTGTGGCAACATCGTTTCCGGGACACCTGAGATTCTGAGTGAGATTGAGAGGTTCTATGGGCAGCTGTACACATCATTGTTGGAGCCAGTCTTATCCGACACTATTCCGATGATATCCCGGACGACAGTCTGAGCGAGATTAGAATGGCTCTCCACCACCTTAAAAACGGCAAGGCCCCGGGCGAGGATGGAATTACAGCGGAGCTTCTGAAAGCGGGTGGAACACCGGTACTTGAAGTCCTTCAGAAGCTCTTCAATTCCGTCCTCCATGGTGGCACTACTCCGGAGGCGTGGAGCAGAAGTGCATTGGTCTTGTTCTTTAAGAAAGGCGACAACGCTCTCTTGAAGAACTACAGACCGATTTCCCTTCTGAGCCGCGTCTACATACTATTTTCAAGAGTCATTACGAATCGTCTCGCACGCAGACTTGACGACTTCCAGCCTCCCGAACAAGCTAGTTTCCGAAAAGGCTTCAGTACCATAGACCACATACATACCCTGCGGCAGATTGTACAGAAGACCGAAGAGTACAATCTGCCACTTTGCCTATCATATGTGGACTATGAGAAAGCCTTTGATTCCGTCGAAATTTGGGCGGTGCTACAGTCCCTTCAGCGGTGCCAAGTTGACTGTCGGTATATCGAAGTGCTGAAGTGTTTGTACAGTAGGGCTACGATGGCTATCCGAGTACGGAACCAGAGTTCGAAACCTATCCAACTGCAGAGAGGTGTAAGACAGGGTGACGTTATATCCCCAAAACTCTTCACCGCTGCATTGGAAGACGTTTTCAAGCTACTGGACTGGAAAGGATACGGTATTAATATCAATGGCATGGAGTACATCACTCACCTTCGATTCGCTGGAGGACCTAAGCACTATGCTCAGTGACCTCAATGGTGTCTCCCAACGGATAGGTTTTAAGATGAACATGGACAAACAAAGATCATGTTTAATGTCCATGTCACACCTATGCCGGTAGTTGTTGGGAGCACTATGCTCGAAGTTGTTGACGAGTACGTTTACTTGGGACAAATAGTCCGACTAGGTAAGTCCAACTTCGACCGAGAGGTCAATCGACGGATTCAACTCGGCTGGGCAGCGTTCGGGAAATTACGACACATCTTCTCGTCAGGTATACCTCAATCTCTGAAAACTAGAGTGTAACCAGTGCGTGTTGCCAGTGATGACTTACGGACCTGAAACGTGGTCCTTCACTGCTGGCCGTATGAGGACGCTCAAGGTCGCTCAGCGAGCTATGGAGAGGGCTATGCTCAGAGTTTCTCTGCGTGATAGACTCAGAAATGAGGAGATCCGCAGTAAAACCAGAGTGACCGACATAGCCCAACGGATTAGTAAGCTGAAGTGGCAATGGGCCGGCTATATAGCTCGAAGAACCGATAACCGATGGGGAAGAAAGGTTCTCGAGTGGCAGCCTCGTACCGGTAGGCGTAGTGTAGGGCGACCCCCCACTAGATGGAGTGACGACCTGGTAAGACATGCAGGAAGTCGATGGATGCAGGTGGCTCAGGACCGTGCTTTGTGGTGTTACTTGGGGGAGGCCTATGTTCAGCAGTGGACTTGTGAAGGGCTGATGATGAATGATAATGATGATTATTATTTGGGGTATCTATGTAATTTTCGCATCTGGTTGGGTTCTATAAATATATAATTTTAAGTTAAAATGAAAAGATAAATATACATAAATATCAATAAAATAAATACAAAAAATACATAAATAAATAAAATCCAACCAGATGGAAGCCCTCGGCAGGGTAGACCAAACGGCCAAGGGTTAGGAGGAAAGGGAAAGAAACCGACGGATGATGCGGGTGGTATCGAGGAGCACCGCCTTCTGAGCCCGGAGCGGTCCATCACGGAGTCCCAGTCGCCTCAGATGACCCGAGAGGCTGACTGGGATTAGCCCATTCGCAGAGACGGCTACCGGAATAATTTCAGCCGGCAGGCCACCCCACATGTCGGTCACCTCGTGAGCCAGGTCCAGATATTTTGTTCATTTATCTGTTTTGGATTTCACGAGGTTCTCGTCATACGGAATGGTAATGTCGACCAAGAATATCCTTGACTGTGCCCGGTCCATCAGCACAATATCAGGCTTATTCGCAAGAATAGTCCTGTCTGCGATGATAGCCCGGTCCCATACGGCAATTTCCGTATTTCAGACCGTATTTCAGAGCGAGCTCCTGGTGTAGAATTCTGGCTACTAGGTTGTGCCTGTGCAAGTACTCAGAGTTAGAAAGCGCCGAACAACCGGAGATGACATGCCTAAGTGACTTACCGGGATGGCGACAAGCTTGACAGACGTCGACGGTGCCATCTTTTGGGATGTATCTCAGATGGTTGTTAGTCGTAATAACCTGATCCTGTATTGCACAGTCAAAACCCTCGGTTTCTCCGAAAAGGTCACCGAAACGTAGCTACGTTAGGAGACCTTCTTCGTTGAGGGAGGCAACTGTATCCACGAAGGGCTCATGTAGAGCCCTGTAGTACCTCCCGTGGAGCTCCTTCTCCTTTCATACGGTCTCCCGGTCGGAAATTCTTTGTATAGCTGGGTCCTGCCTTTGCTCGTTGGCTAAGGATAGAGGGATAAGCCCTTTATCACTAGAAATGACGTCATTATAGAATGGATCATCCGATCTCGCCAGGAAGTAATTACGGAGGCTGTACACTTCGCGATTATGCATGGTGAGCGCGTTCAGGAAGCCACGCCCACCATGCTTTCGCGACAAGTACAGCCTCATTACCGACGACCTCGGATGATGCATCCTATGGGACGTTATGGTAGTGCGGACTTTTCTATCCAGGGCGTTAAGTTCAGTCTGAGTCCACCTGAGTATGCCAAAGGTATACATGAGGACAGGCATGACCCAGCCGTTATATGCGTGTGCCTTATTCACACCGGATAAAAGGTTGTTAAGCACTTTGGTCAAGCGTGCATAAAACACGTCGCAAACTGACTGTTTCATACCAGCCTCATCGATACCAATGTTCTGTGACATACCCAGGTATCGGTATGTTTCAGCCTCGAACTGTATGGGGCACCGAGTCAAATGCCTTTCTGTAGTCTATCCAGGCGGCGGAGAAGTTCCAACGGTTACGTTTCACCACTTTGCCAATGACCGCATCAATGAGGAATGGTTGCTTGGTTCCACGACCGCCGCTGCAACATCCATTTTGAGCGCGCAACATCACCTGATTTGAGTCCAGGTGACGAGTGATTCTCGCACTCAAAATGGACGTTAGTGTCTTGTATATGATCGGTAGACACGTGATGGGGCGGTATTTGCTCGGGTCTGTGGTACCCTGGTCTTTAGGAACCAAATGAGTGATCCCAGTAGTAAAGAGGCTTGGGAGCGGCTTCTAGTTGAGAGCCTCTTGAAACTGTCGTGCGAGCACAGCGTGACACACCATGAACCCCTTCAGCCAGTAGTGCTGCAGCCCGTCAAGCCCCCGACTTTTCCAGTTCGGGGCCCTACGGACCGCCTCAGCTACGTCATCCGGCGTTATGATGATGGGGTCCATGGGCGTAATACCCGCACACTGACTCGCCACAACTCGCCACTCATTGTGGTTTACGGGCTCTGACCACAGGCTGCGCCAGAATGCGACCGTGTTGGCTTGATTCGGTGCTGGGCCCGTTTCTCTTGCCATTGGTCGCTCCAATGATTTATAGAGCCTCTTCTGATCACTCTGGAAGAAACGATTCTGGTTGAACCGTGTCGACCTCTTGGTATATCGCTGAATCCGCTTTCCCCAAGCAGCGATTCTCTGCTTCAGGTGGTCTACGCGCTCCGTCAGTTTTTGCATTATATCCGGCTGGGACAAACAAACATTTATCCAAGCAAACGCCATCCTGACGGTGCGCACAATCCTTGGCATGGTATTGCCTGACCTGAAGCATATCAGTCTGCCGATGAGGACCCTAGCCTTTGCGATACGTTCTTCAATTCTTATTCTCCAGACTGGGATAACACTACTTTGTCCAGTAGCGCGTCCAGCCGTGGAAAGTTTGGCGCCTATAATACGGCAGACTGCCAGTGCGGCGCCAAAAAGAATTGAGTCCGTCTCGCAAAGGTCCCCGCTGGCTTCCAAATAGGTCACCAGCATTGGGTTCAGAACCCTCACGACAGCCCGATTCCGCTTGCTTAGGGCTATGCGGGGAAGTCGCGGTCGATTTTAGAGAGGCGTACTGCGCGTTTCCACAATCGCCTCTTCCAATGTACTCTCCTCATTTGCTCTAGTTCCAGTTCCTGGGAGAATGTTCCTTCATCGTTTGAATCAACCACAACTGCTATTATTATTATTATCCACGTTTGCTATTATTATTATTTTTACGTTTGTTATTATTATTATTGTTAAATAATTATTTAATATTAACATTAATTATATTATATAAACATACACACATTGAATTTGGAATACGGCTATTATAATTGTTATTATTTAGTAAGTGATTTTGACATTTAATTTAATAATATAGGTAGTATAATTAGCACAGTTGATTTTTATTAAATTATTTGAATCATTTTAAATTTTATTAGAATTTTTTGTTGTAATTTATTTAGTAGGATGGCATTTCATTATTACCTAACATATTTATATTTACGTATCTATATTATATTATATTTTTATCTTCTAAAAATTCAGAAGGTAACACTTGTTTATAAGTAGTTGTTTTAATTTTTTACAAATGGTTTTTCGTCTTTAATGTTTTTTTTTATATATTCGGGTAATTTATTATATACTTTTATAGACATGGCAAATGGGCTGGAATGAGATTTTAGTTTTGAAGTTGGTAGCACTGGTTTGTTTTTCTGTCTTAGATTCCTAGATATGATGTCGTCTCGTTTTGTCTAGAAGCTTGGATTTTTTTTGACAAATTTGCATAGTTCCAAAATATAAATACAGGGCAAGCTTATAATGTTATACTTCTTAAAGTATAAAAGTTCTAGTAAGTAATGATGATAATATTGATAAAATATGTATATTATGTGTATGTATGTGCAGCGTGCGGCGGCTACCTGTCGGCGACGGAGACGGTGCGGCACCTGTACTCGCACGCGCGCTACGGACACGACTCGTACGAGTCGCGCGCCAACTGCGACTGGAGCATCGTGGCGCCGCTCGGCCACTTCGTGCGCCTCACCTTCCTCACCTTCGAGCTCGAGCCCGAGGCCAACTGCGGCTACGACTACGTGCAGGTGTTCGGTGGCCTGGAGGGCAGTGCCGGCGACTATGGCAGCTTTTGCGGGACGAAGGTAACTGCACATTCTGCTTTATGTTTTTTGCAGTACGTAGGTACTTTGATATTTTTTTTATGTATAAACTTTATTGTACTAACCATAAAGGTTACAAAATGTAATATATGATATGATATTACAATACCGTTACCGTTACAGCCTATTTAATCCACAGCTGGACATATATTTGCTGGGTAATATTTACCATAGTTTCCACGTTTGGTAAGCGGGTTTGCAACCGATTTTTTTTATTTTTAGTCGTTATTAGTAAGACGCTGCTGCCCTCTCCTAATTGATTTTTCTCTGCCGCCTCTTACGACACCCTCGTGGTGATATGGTGTAGTGGATATTCTTATACCGCTACTACACAATAATGACATTATAATATCTTTTTTCGTCTTTTTAATCAGCCTGTAACACGTCACTACTGGACATGGAGCTCTCGCGATACTTGAGCTTGACTTGACAGAAGGATAAGTCGCAACGCTTGGCACGTAGGTTGGAAATTGCAATATCAAACCTGTATGAATATAAGAGTATAAGAAAGCCTTAGAAAAGATAACAACAGACTTAGAATGATATGATGGATTACAGCTCATAGAAGAGAATGAAAGTGGAAGATATAATATGTACTGTGCCGATCCCTAATACTTGGAGCAGCAGGATGATCATGATGTAAATTCTGCACTTTAGAACTTCTTAGTTAGAATTTCTAAAGATCTTCCCGAATTACCGAATTAAATGAATGACCCGGTTCGTATGACGAATCAATACTTGAAAAACTGGGGCGCTAACAATAACACATCTCTCTAGCATATTGAACGCATGTTGAATAAAGGGGCCCCGCGACGATCAAACGGTTTGATTCAAACCTCATGTGTTTGACCAAACCTTTTGATGTCGCTTTGAATTCGTATGAAACCAGTGCTTCCAGATTCACTGTAATTACAGTAGATTTACTGTATTTTAGACTTTTCTACTGTATACTGTAATGATAAAATACAGTGTATGGAATATACTGTATTTAATTTTCATATAGCTTTATCAATTCTAATACGTAAAACAGAACGCAGCTAATCTACACTACCACAGACTAATATGATGCTAATACACTACCTTGCTACAAATTTATTTATCTATGATCTACACCCACTGAACCACAAACTAATAAGAGTGCTAGCGCCATTATCCATAGACAATGTACAGTAAGTTTGTAACAAAGTTGCGGGGAATTCCCTGGCAAATCGGAACTAACGTGGAGCACTCTGGGACGCAACTAGCATAAGTAGGTTCTTGTTACTTGTTTTAACTGTCTTACAAAGGAACATTGTATTTTTCGTCTAATTCATTACACTTAAAGTAGTTTTGCCATTGTACATACATTTTAATTGAGATTTAAACTTTTTAATTGTTTTGGGTGATGTGAAATAAAATTTAAACTAAAAACTTATTCGCTATAATTTTTTCACTGTATTTATTACTGTAAAAATGAGCTCAAGCAGTGAGGAAAGTGATGTGCGTAGCGATGCTGGTCCGTCAAGAGCTAAAAAGAAATATCGGCAACAATTCCGTGATGAATGGCTTCAATTACAAGACTACCGTAAGTGGTTAAAGCGTGATAAAAAAGTCGATTTATAAATGCATTTGCACTGTTTGCGATTCTTCTTTGATTGCCGATCTGGGTGCTATTAAAAGACACAGTGAAGGTGCTAAGCATAAACTTCGTCTTCCTGCCCTATCGCATGTGCGTACCATTGATAATATTTTTAAAAGTCAGCAACGCGCAAGTGATGATGATCAGCGGAAAATTACAGAATTAAAATTATCGGCTTTTATGGCAGAACATAAAATATCGCACATAGTGATGGATCATCTCGTTGATTTACTTCCAAAAGCTTTTCCAGATTCTAAAATCGCAAGTAATATCAAACTTAAACACACTAAATTACAAGCAATAATAAATAACGTTATCGGGGCTTCTGAAGGAGAATGTTTAGTCGAAGATTTAAAACGCGAAAAGTTCTCTATAATGGTAGACGAAAGTACCGATGTTGCCAGTGTGAAAACAATGTGTGTTGTAGTCAAATATTATGATCCTAATTTAGGACGTATCGTCAGTCGATTCTGGGACCTTATTCAAATATTTGATGACAAAAAAGCTGGAACGTCTGGTGATTACTCAGCCACGGCTGAAAAATTATTTAATTCAATAATAAAATCATTTCGAGACAAAAATATACCCTTAGAAAATACTATCGGGTTTGGTTCTGATGGATGTAATATGATGATGGGCTGCCATAATTCAGTGTCCTCACGATTTAGACAACTATGTCCAGGTATTACAGTGATCAAATGCCTTTGCCATTCTTTACATTTGTGCGCTTCCGACGCTTGCAAAGAATTGCCCCACGATGCAGAAAAACTGACTCGAATGATATACAATTACTTCAAAAATAGTAGCAAACGTCAAGCAGAGTTAAAGGAATTTCAAGTATTTACAGACACTAACATACACAAATTGCTACGTCCAGCCCAAACGCGTTGGTTGTCTCTTTCCAGTGTTGTGAACAGAATTATGGAGCAATGGGACGCTTTGCGATTGTACTTTGACGATAAATGGCTGGAAGACCAAGATTGCCAAGCCATTCATATTCTTTTGAATGATCACATCATCAAGGCATATTTTTATTTTTTATGTTGGATGTTGCCAAAGTTTACCCGCGTCAATGTATATTTTCAAAGCGAAGATCCGGTTATTATAGAAGCCCATAACAAAATGAAAGAGCTATACAGAGAACTCTTATCCTTATACATAACTCCGAATCATTTAAAGAACACCCCACTCGACGCAATTGACCCTACTGATAGTCAACATTACATAAATCTGAAAAATATATACCTGGGATTGGGTGTTGCTAATCAAGTTGCTGTCCCAGAGCTACATGTAAGTACCGAAGAAGTTACAGTGATGAAACAGAAATGCCTGAATTTTATCGTTAAAGCATGCGTGGGTATTCGGAAAAGATACAGTTTGAATGACCCAGTTTTGAGCTCAATCGCAAAGTTGGATCCCGATTCTTGCTTATCTGATAATAGACTACAGTCTTTGTCTTCGCTGTTCCCAGTGCTGCCAAGGCTTAAACCCCAAACTTTAAATGATCAACAGACGTTAGATGATGAATGGAGAAATTTAATGTTGACTGCGGATGAACAACATTTGAATACAAATCAACCAGCAGACGTGTTTTGGCATCAGGTAAAATTTTATCACTTAAGAACTTTACGTATAATATTGCACATATGTTTACATTTTACAGATTTGTTTTTTTTTCAGTTGTCTCAAATCAAAGATAGCAACGGAGATAATAAATATCATTTTCTGCCTCGTTTTATGCTCCAAGTTTTATCGTTGCCTCACTCGAACGCTGAGTGCGAACGAAAGTTTAGTGAAATAAATAATATAAAAACAAAGCAGAGAAACTGTTTAGTCACAAATACCATCAAAGGCAACATGCTAGCTCAGCAAGCCATTCGGCGGACTTCCGAAAATTGCGTGAATTTTAATCCAACTAAGGAAATGATTTCAAGGATGACAGCAAAGATTTATGAAAATCATGAGCAAATTGTTCTGGAATAAGTAAATCAATAATAAATGTTTTTTCTTGTATCTAAATATATGTTTTTATTTATTTAATAACTTATAGCAATTTGTATTGATAAAGAGTCATAAAGCAGCTTATTTTTCTATCAATATTTAAACAAAGTGTTTCCTGTAATTTTACTGTAATTGATTTTGAAATCTACTGTATTGTTTTTAGAAACTCCTGTATTTTTTAACTGGCAACACTGTAATTTTACTTTTGGGATCTGGAAGCACTGTATGAAACAGAAGCAGTGTGGCTTCAAAGTTCGAACAAGAAAGTCCTATTGTGATTCCAAAAAATGGCGTCGACTATGGATAAAGGTTTTCTCGCGTTTATTGGTATATAATGTCTTGCTTTAATAATACGAGGGTGGATTGAAAAGTACTCGGCCTAACCAAGAAAATAAATACATACTAAATCAGTTATATTTTTATTTTTCTACATAATCACCATCAAGTTCAATACACTTTTGCCACCTCCCCTTCCAAGCATTTAGACCGTTGAAAAAAAATGATTCTTCCTTAGAGTCAAAATATGCGTCTACAGCTGCTTTGACCTTGTCGTTTGTCGGAAATCTTTGACCTCCCATGTGCTTTTTTAGGTTAGGGAACAGAAAGAAGTCTGATGGTGCCAGATCAGGTGAATACGGCGGATGCGGTAACAGTTCAAAGCCACAGTTGTGAATTTCAGTCATTGACTGTACTGACGTGTGAACACGGGCGTTATCTTGATGAAACAGGACTTTTCTTCTGAGCATTCCTCGACGTTTTTCTTTTATTTCCTCTCGTAAACGACGTAGTAAGGTGCAGTAGTAATCAGAGTTTATAGTCTGACCCCTTTCAAGATAATCAATCATAATCACACCTTTCGAGTCCCAGAATACTGAAGCCATCACCTTATTTGCCGACAAAATCGACTTAGCCTTTTTAGGGGGTGGTGAACCAGGTCTTCTCCACTGTTTTGATTGTTGTTTTGTTTCCGGTGTACAGTAATGAACCCATGTTTCGTCCATAGCAACAAAACGATTAAAAAAATCGTCTGCATCGGCTTCAAATAACTCCAAACAGTCGCGTGAAATAGTCAATCGCGTCCTTTTTTGTTCAACTGAAAGCAGTCGCGGAACCCACCTCGCAGACACCTTGTGGAAACCCAACTCGTTGATAATGATGTTTTGAGTTCGTTCATAAGAGATGCCTATAATCTCGGCTATCTCTCTAATTTTTAATCTGCGGTCTTCCATTATTAAATCAAGTACTTTTTTAATATTTTCGTCAGTAGTTGACGTCGAAGGCCTTCCAGAGCGGGGTTCATCTTTCACACTCTCTCTACCACGCTTAAATTCTGCTATACATTTTTTGACGGATGAATATGACAGAGCACAATCACCTAATGTACTGACCATGTCATCATGGATGGCTTTTGATGATAGCCCCTTCTTATGGAGGTACTTAATGACGGCACGCTGCTCGATTTGCTCCATTCGCGGAAATTATGTCCGATTACTTTGTTAATAAATTTATAAAATCACAACTAATTATCGCACACGTTTCGAACTTCACACAATGAACTAGTCTGAACTGAACTAAATAATTTGGGTAGATTTGATTTTTAGAATTGAATGGATCTGTGTTAGGCCGAGTACTTTTCAATCCACCCTCGTAAGAAAAAAGAAAAAAATTTGGTGCAAAGATTATTACAAATTAAGATATCTTTTGATATAGTCGTTGGCTATAGTCACTTCCGACGACAAATCGTCTCGTGATGACGTTGAGGCGTTTTTCAATGTCTATTTCATCTTCGTCTGTCATTTTGGAAACTACACAGAACACTTCGCTTCGAAATTCAGTACAAGACTTATGACCTGATGAGGTTTGATCAAACACGTCGCGAACACGATCAAATAGCGCTTAAAACAAAACCAAAATATAAATTTCCATCAAATGAGCTTCAAACACGTAACGTTTGATCATACCAACGGCGTAAAACGATTAAATTGGTTTGACTCAAACCGTTTGACTCAAACCGTTTGACCGTCTCGGGGCCCCTTAGATGAACGGCAACGGAAAAAAGTGGGACCGAAAACGCCAACTACCACGGACCGGATTTTGAAATATCGAATGTTTTATTTCGATGTAGGTATATTATTATCAACCACTGTCTTTGTTTTCTCAGTTGTATTTTTAGTAATAGTAATCATTTTTAATATATAAGCTAATCCTCATAATATTTACAGTTGCCGTAAAGCTGTTTAACCGTGAAAATATCTGATTGATTTTTTTTCCACAGACTCCACCGGAAATCGTTTCTACCACAGAGGCACTCCTCGTAAAATTCCGTACAGACGACTCGATAGTCTTCAAGGGATTCTCAGCATCTTACCAAGCGGTTAAACCAGAGTTATGGAGCGAAGAAGACAGCTCTGAAGGTGGAGAAATCGAAGAAGAAGAGGATGAACGCATGCCCCCATTAGTTGTGGGGCGAAGGGGCTTACGCGCACCCTTACCAAGATTTGTTAGGCGACCTACGTGACGGTGGCCGATACCAAGACATCCGAGGCATCGGCGGCCTCATCGCAACTCTAATAACCGATTGAAATCGGAAAATGGCGCAATGTAATTCCGGTTTTAATTTGAAAGTTAGAGTTGCCATTTATACAATCGTTCGTTTGAAAACGCCGAGAATCGATGTATTTCGTTCAATTAAACATTGTTTTTATTAAAATTACTTGATCACATTTGCATAAATTGTTAATTGATCAAAACGTTTCTCAGTAAAAAATATTAATTTAAAGTGATATTTATTTAAATATACATCAAGTTACAAAATGAACATGTAAATTATCTGATATTCATTAATATCGGTGCGTTAAGAAATTATTGAAAATTATGATTTTCCAAATACATGAGAAACGTTTAAATTGGTCCTTGACTGATTGAAATTGTAAATAAATTATTTGTAGCGATATGTACGTAGGTCTAATACTTAAATCTGATAGTGGTTACCGAAAATATTCAGTCATTGATTTAAGGCATAATATTATATGTATATCGTACTTGCCAGTAAAAACGAGTACACCTTTGCAATACCAAAGAAAGCTGTTGTTAATTTAAGTGCCATAATATACAAATAACTTTAATTGTTATAAGTTGCAAGATAATAGTATAAATTAATTACCTACATTGTACTTATGTATACGCAACAAACGTACAATACACGTAACGATTTCCGTAAAAAATTTGAATACCATTATTATAAACCTAATTACGTCAAGCCTAAAACTTTATTTGTAAGTAATATTATGAGATATTTAATGACTAACTTAGAAATTAATTAAAATGACAATACATAAGTAAAATTACAACTTTTTAGAAGCTAGGTGTTGAAATTCATATCAATTGATAGTCATTTCAAGTTACTATTAACTAAATATATTTAATTAGCTGGGTGATTGATTCATTCCTTTGACGCATTAAATAAATGTAAGTACATCTTAAATAGTAATTTTTGTGTTTCTCTCTCTTTGATTATTATTTTATGGTGAAGAGTACAGGAGTTGTGTTGAATATAAATAAATAATAAATGGCCTTGTTTTCTCGAATAATTCTATATAAGTGTTCGTGTATGTTGTGTTGCGTGTAATATAAAACTTTCAAAAGAAACGACTTTTGACTGCCAAACTATTGCAGTCTGCTAAATATTTGTATGCACATAATATATAGATTGGTTAAGCCTTCCAGGTGTTTATTTAAGTACTCTGCGATTTCATAAGCCACACAAGTATTTAAAAAAGGAAGGTATGCATTTTGATTAAACTATTTTGTTTTGGCGACTTGGATTTGGATTAAATTTTTTGTTTTGGTGTGGGAACTTGATCACTGACTAGCGATATATACGATTACATTAATGGTTTGAATGGATTTTGATACTCATACGTTAAAGTGATTTGATTTTTAAGTGTTCACGTGTACTATTATTGAAAACGACAAAGAGCTCCGACGTTGATAATATCCTCAAGTTATTTAGTCCACTTAGGTGCTTTAAGAACTTGAGATACTGTCGTTACTCGTTATCGTCTGTCTGCTGACTTAAGCTATATATTCATGAATTTGAGTCGTTGGAAGGTAGGTTTGGCTTTTTACGACTGTTCGTTGTTAATTTTGCAACAAACCATTGCGTGCTTAAAATGGATGGTTTATAGCACTTTTAAAAAACATATTTACTTGCTCAGTGAACGCAAACAACACCCTATTTACGTTCAATGCACACACATCATATTGTTGCTTCAGAAAGTTGGTAAATAACTCTTTAACTGCAAAGCATAATACGAGTATATAAATCGCTACGTTTAATTGGTTGTTTTATCGCTTACTTACTAATCTGTGGGTTACCCGTCGCAATGTCTATTTCTCCTGGGGATGCCTCATTTAGAGGCGAAACCCGTGTATGGTGTATAAATTGATAGTTTCTAATTTATTTTACTACAAATTCCGGAAGATATAACATTACTACCAATTTCTACTGATTTGCCATAAAATATGTGCCTTCCTTTTTCATGAATCTGTTGTGGTTTAAACTTACTTTTCACATAGAAACATTTCTGTTGTTCGTGATGCGTAAATTTATCTTTAAAGTAATACCAACATTAGCGAATATTTACCTATTTGTAACATGTTTTACATATGTATAGGATCATTGTGCCAAATCGATACTTACGTAGTGATAATTTAATTAGGCTAGTGTTTTTTTTTTAGCGTAGCAGTGAAAATATTTATACGTAGGGCGGTTACTTTATTTTTATTAAAACTTTTAAAATGGAGACCTTCTTTTAATTTCATTTCTTTCGTCAATATCATCTTAACCTAACCAATTGAAGTATAGATAACAAAACATACCAAACAGTACGCCTAGAACCTTGGATAAATTGTAATGCGTCCAAGCCTGGAATGTTCGTCATAGATCCTTAGTTAGAGAACATTATTTTTCAGATATTTGTTGTTGCCTGGTTACTATATTTTAACAATTTTGTTTTATTTGACGCTCTGTTGCTTTTTATACTAAGTAAGTACATTTGAAACCATATATGAACCGTCCAGTAACTTAAGAGCGTATATTCAAATATGCGCAAGCACAGAATAGATAATAGTACTACGTAGCGCAATTCAAAATTTACGCGATCGCTCTAGAACGTCGTAACATTGACGCACACTGTAATTTTCTCTCTGTGTACGTGACTGCGCGAGGTGGGGCGAGCGCAAGGTTACCAGTGGCATTTAGCATGAATCTCCTTGATACTATTGGAACTAAAAGAATAAAATAATTTCCACACAATAGCATAAGAGGTCGGAGCTAAGACATAGTGTATATAAGAATTAATATCCGATCTAGCCACGATATTGGAAGCTAATATTTATAAATTATTTTATTCTTTTAGTAAATTGAGGTTGGATTTACTTTTTTTTATTATATTGAGTAACTAAGGAATGTCACATCAAGGTAACAACCAGAAAGGGTTAAGTATATGTCCGAATTGAAAAATATGTATTATATAAAATAGGTATCGTTTGATATACATTTATTCTGTTTCATAATGTAAATATACAATATCACAATATCTATATTACCGTCACTATCTAAAATACTAGAACGTGTGATGAATAATAGGTTGAAAAATTTTCTTGATAAAAATTCCATACTTTCGCCAAATCAATTTGGTTTTCGTTCCGGTAAATCTACAGCTGATGCGGTTCATGAACGAATTGAGTTTATCGTACTTAGCCTCGAGAAAAAAAGAAAACAATAGGAATATTTTTAGATTTGGCTAAAGCTTTTGACACGGTCTCTGTTCCCATATTGTTGCATAAAATGGAGAAGCTTGGTATAAGGGGTGTACCGTTGCAGGTTTTCAGAGATTATCTTACAGATAGAACACAGTTGGTAAAAATTGATAAACATGTTAGTGATGAGCTTCCCAACTGCTATGGTGTTCCCCAAGGAAGTATTCTTGGCCCTACCTTATTTCTTCTTTACATTAATGACCTCTGCAAACTGAAAATAGTGAACGGAAATATAGTTACGTTTGCTGATGACACATCACTGCTATTTACTGGTGATTCATGGCCAGATGTATTTAACTTCGCTCAGATTGGCTTAAACAGAGTGTCCAAATGGCTACGCGATAATGTGTTAACCCTCAACGTGGATAAAACAAACTACTTGTCCTTCTCCAAACATAATAATAAATATGCAACCTGCACGGACCATGTTATTACTGCTCATTCTTGCAATTTTCCTTATTGTCTGACATGTTCATGCACACCTTTGCAAAAAGTGAATTCAATTAAATACCTTGGCATTTTGTTGGATGATAAGCTAACTTTCATGAGCATATTTATACACTTTCAAATAGGATACGGAAATTAACATATATTTTTAAAAAACTCCGTTGCGTAGCAGATTCTAACACTATTAAATCTGTCTATTTTGCTCTATGCCAATCTTTAATAATACATTGTATTACGTGCTGGGGTGGGGCTACCAAATCATCTCTTCTGCCCCTCGAAAGATCACAAAGATTAATCTTAAAAGTAAGTAACTCTCCTCCATTTAAATTTCCAACCAGTCAACTTTATAAAATTTCCAAAGTTCTTACAGTTCGGCAACTGTTTATTATATACACAGTACTAAAAAAAAACATGCACAATTAAAATATGACCGAAAAAATACACAGCACACGAGACGCAAAGACCGAGTGTGTACTTCTCATTATGACCATTGTACCTACTTTTCTAGGAGATTTTTTTTGCTATCGTCGCTATTATTTACACCGATATTTTTGACAAAATTCGCTTGTTTTATCACTATTATTTAGGACTGATCAAATGAACGAATAATTTTTCGTCCAAACAACGTTGCAGATTCTGAACTTTCTAATTCTGAAAATAGTAATAAATCTTATGAACTCACAACTCGTGTACTTCAAAACGTTCTTTAGAAAAACCGCATATATTCATGCATAATCGAACGGTTTTAACAACTCACACCTTGTTAACCTAGACAAAACCCTTGCGTCGGACGTACAATGTTACTTTATTTATGAAAACTACAGTATCTATAACCGATTGAAGAAATTGACTAGTGGAAGAACATTTTCACAAGACTTTTGCATTTTAATAAATGTACTTATCTAAACAGTAGCATGTAAGTTAGGTACCGTACTAGTAATAGAATTAAATAATAAATGATCCCAAAATTAACGACGTCGATGCATAGCACCACCGTAAGAAAAAAAACGAGTCAACACGATTGATATCTGTATCTTGCCATGCCAACACATTACGCGCAAAGTTTAAAACTCTGATGTTGCCTATTTAGTTCGAGCTTGGTGAGAAAATATCAAATTTTCGAAGTAAAAGTATTTTAATTTAGTAACAGCTTCCAGATATATTCAATTTTGCTGTCACAATGATTGATCAAAAAATAAAACCTCCCTCATCATCATTCATCATTACAGCCCTTCACAAGTCCATTGC